AAGCTAAATGCTCCAACCAAAAGACATAGGCTGAATGAAAGCATAAAAAGAATCCATCTTTATGCCGCCTACAAGAGGTTTCACACGTTAAAGACACAGGCAAACTGGAAGTAAAGGCATGGGAGAAAGATATTCCATGAAAATGAAAAAAAAAAAAAAACCAGACATCATACACAAAAGATGTAAAAGAGGGCATTACATAAGGATAAAGGGATCAGTTTAATAAAAGGTTATAACAACTGTAAATATTTAAGCACCTAACATAGAAACATTTAAATAAATATTGACAGAGATAAAGGGAGAAATTGACACTAATGAAATCATAGCAGGAAATTTTAATACCCCACTTACATCAATGGGTAGATTATTCATCCAGAAAATCAATAAGGAAACAGTATCTTTGAACAACATACTGTACCAAATTGACTAGGATTTATACATAACATTCCATCCCCAAACAGCAAGGTACATGTTTTTTAAGTGCACGTGGAACTTTCTCCAGGATAGATCACATGTTGGGCCATAAAACAACTTTAAATAAATTTAAGAAGATTGAAATTATATCAGGCATCTTTTCTGACCACAGCAGTATGAATTTAGAAATAAATTACAGGAACTGGCAGAAACAAACACATGGAGGCTAAACAACATTCCGTTAAACAACCAGTGGGTCAATGAAGAAATCAAGGAGGAATAAAAAAAATACCTTGTGACAAATGAAACACAAATTCCCAAAATCTTTGGGAAGCAGAAAAAACAGTTGTAACAGGGAAGATTATAATCTACCCAAAAAAACAACAGAAATCTCAAACTATTTAACGTTACACCTAAGCAACTAGAAAGAAGAATAAAGCTCAAAGTTAGAAGAAGGAAAGAAATAACAAAGGTCAGAGTGGAAATAAAATAGAGACTAAAAAAGAAAAAAATAAAAAAGAACAAAACTAAGAGCTAGTTCTTAGAGAAACAAAACTGATAAACCTTTATCCAGATTAATCAAGAGAAAGAGAGGATTCAAATGAAATCAGAAATGAATGAGGAAAAGTTACAACTGAGAAATACAAAGGATTATGAAAGGCTGCTACAAAAAATTACTTGCCACCAATATACACAACCTAGAAGAAATGATAAATAGCTAAGTCCCTAGAAATACAGCCCTCCAAGACCGAATCAGAAAGAAATAGATAATATGACAAATTACTAGTAATGAAGTTCAACTAGTGACTTAAAAACTCTCAGGGAACACAAGTTCAGGATGAGAAGGATTCATGAGTGAATTCTACCAAACATTTAAAGAGGCATTAATACTCGTCCTTTTCAAAATATTCCCCAAAATTGAAAAGGAAAGAACATTTCCAAATTCATTCTACAATACTAGCATGACTGATAGCAAAATCAGACAAAAGATACTATTTAAAAAAAAAAATTACAGGCCAATATCCCGGAAGAACATAGATGCAAAAATCCTCAACAAAACATTACCAAACAACATTCAAAAATATATTAAAAGGATCATTCACCCTAGTCAAGTGGGATTTACTCCAGGGATACAAGGATGATTCAGTATCTGCAAATCAGTGTGATCCACATTAACAAAATGAAGGATAAAATCATATGATCATCTCAATGGTGCAGAAAAAGTATTTGACAAAATTCAACATCTGCTCATGATAAAATCTCTCAACAAAGAGAGTAGAGAATATACCTTAACTTAGTGAAGCTAGGGGCGCCTGGGTGGCTCAGTCATTAAGTGTCTGCCTTCAGCTCAGGTATGATGCCAGGGTCCTGGAATCAAGCACCGCATCGGGCTCTCTGTTCAGCAGGAAGCCTGCTTCTCCCTCTCCCACGGCCCCTGCTTGTGTTCCCTCTCTAGCTTTGTCTCTCTCTGTCAAATAAATCTTTGGGAAAAAAAAAAATAGTGAAGCTGTTTATGACAGGTTCACAGTTAACATCACACTTAACAGTAAAAAGCTAAAAGCTTTCTCTCTAGGATTAGGAACAAGACAAGGATGCTCACCTCACAACTTTTATTCAACAGAGTACCAAAAATCCTAGTCACAGAAATCAGACAAGAAGCAAAAGGCATTCAAATTCATACGGAAGAAGTAAAACTACCACCATTTGCAGATGACATGATACCATATATAGAGAACTCTAAAGACTCTACCAAAAAACTATTAGGATAAATAAATTCAGTAAAGTTGAAGGATACAGAATTAATATATAGAAATCTGTTGTATTTCTATATACTACTAATGGACTATCAGAGAAATTAAGAAAACAGTCCCATTTGCAGTTGCATCAAAAAGAACAAAATGCCAAAAAAAAGTCTCCCCAAAACAAACAAAAAGAATAAAATGCCTATGAGTAAACTTGACCAAGGAGGCGAAAGACCTGTACTCTGAAAACTATAAGACATTGGTAAACAAAAACACTAATTTGAAAATATATATGCACCTCTTTGTTCATTACAGCATTATTTACAGTAGCCAAGACATGGAAGCAATGTAAGTGTCCATCAACGGATGAATGAGTAAAGATGCATACACACACACAGAGACACACACTGGAATTTTACTCAGCCAGAAAAGGGGACATCTTGCCATTTGCAACAACGTGGATCGACCTAGAGGATATTATGCTAAGGGAAATAAGTCAGACAAATATCATATGATTTCGCTTGTGTGTACAATCTAAAAAAACATGGAAAAAAAACCAGACTCATAAATGCAGAGAACTGGTGGTTGTGTGGAGTTCAGGCAATGGGCAAAATAGCTGGAGGGGATTAAGAGGTACAGACTTGCAGTTAGAACAGTACACCGTGTTAGAACAGTACACCGTTGGGAATGGAGTCGGTGATGCTGTAATAACTTTGTATGGTGACAGACAGTAACTACACTTCCTGTGATGTTTCATAATGTATATAAATGTCAAGTTACTGCTGTACACCTGAAACAAGTATTGTATTGTGTGTCAGGTATATTCAATTAAAAATACATATGCTTATTACATTTAAAATTTCTAAATCTCAACACTTCCTTGCCAATTATACCATCAGATGTGTCTCCGGCTGCCATAGCATCCTTCCCACTCTAGGAGCATATTTAGCTGTTCTTTCAATGACACTTGACATTCATGTGCCCTTCTCAGTATTTTGGACAAAAGCAAAACAATTGTATTAGAAAAACTCTTTGAGACTTACCTGTAGAAAACAGGGAATTTAGACTTGCATTTAAGTGTAGGTACTTTTTCTAACCAAAAATTAAATCAGAACAGATAAGATTTCAATGTATGACTTCTTTGGTGATTGATTAAAGGATAGCTTGCTAGAATTTCTCACAGTATTTTGGAAATGATTAGAAGCAAAGTAAAATTTATTGCCCAGCCCTGCATGACATAATGGAAATACTTAATAGAAAATAAATGGAACCTGAAAACAGATTAAGAAATGAAATTCATCAGACCATAGTAGGTTGAGATGTTTAGTTATAGGTACAAGAAGCAGCACATACAGATTTGAGCGAGAACCAGAAATTAATGTGTGTTCTTATATATGAGCATAATTTAATAAGCTCTATCTATAGCTATATATTTTTTTCAAACTGGGAATTATTCTATAAGAAAGGAAAAATTAAAAAGAAGACTATCACCTAATTTGGTGTGGAAGAAAATATCTTCAAACTGGAGGCTTTCATGTGCCTATGTTATACCACTATATTGCTGGAATTGTGAAGAGGATGTTTTTAGCAACTTACCTTCTCATAGAAGAAGACTTATGAGAAAAACACATTAGACAATTATTGTATTTAGATTTGATTATTATTGAAGGTATCAGCTTACAATTTCTCATGAAGATATCAGGGAAGTTGGCAAAGCAGCAGAGACCAGGAGGGCAAGGATGGGGACAAGAGTCACAAGGCATTTGGGTTGTAGCCTCACTTCCTCATCTACTTAACTTATGTCCTTAGATTTAGTGTTTGGCATTTTTCAGTGGTCTGAGAAAGTTATTAAAGAAGTGTCGAAGTCTAAATAGTCTTAAACACATAAATGTGTTGCATGGCATAAATTTGGTAATTTTTATTTTAATCTTTTTTTTTTTAAATTTAGGCTTTTGAAATACAGTACCAAATATAGCTATTATGGACATCCATAATAAAAGTACCTTCTCAAGTTACCAGCCCATGCCCCGGTGATCTGTGAGGGATGGTGGTCTCTAGTTCTTCCTCTTAATAAGGTTGCTTTCCATTCATGGGCGCCAGTGTCACTTGATTGAACTTTAAGAAACTTGTCAGAGGACTAATCCAGAGCCCAAATCTCCATTGCTCATGTTTCTGCTGGCTTTGCCTTTTCTCTAGCAAAACTTCCTACACTGGAATCTGGGTAAAGTATTTGAGCAAAACAGTGAGTTTACTTCTGTTCAGCCTGTTAACTAACAGTAGACTCAAAGCATCAACTATTTTTCTCCACACCTCAGAATCAGTTGACAGGATGATTAACTTGAAAAAATAGACCGGCAGAGATACCACAAAGCCTGCTGCTCAGAGTAGTTGTGCTGTGGCCAGGGTGGGATGGAGGACCTGCTGGGGATGTGCTTCCAGAAACGTCGACAACCTTCTAACACTTTCCTCTGGTAGAAACTTCCCAAAAAAGAGCCTCCACCATCGTAGGAAAGAATAAGCTGGTGTCCCTATAATGAAGGCCTTTCTTTTTCAATTGTTTTCCTTTCCATACCTGTTAGTCCCTATGGCTTAAAGAATAATACTTGGAATTGGGAATAAATTTGCATTAATCTTTTAAACTTCCCACACATTCTTAGTCCGTTTCTTTAATGTTCAAAATGGAGACAATACAGCCTGCCCTGCAATAATAAATAAAAATGGGGGAAAAGTTTATTTCTGGGGATAATGAAAAATAGGGTTTTCATCTAAAATGAGATCAAGCTGATATGATATCTGTATATTTATTCCATTATTGACATGATACCTCTTTCAAAATCTACCCAGATGGTTCACAGGCACCAGCCAGACCTCCTAAACCACGACCCCGCAGGACTGCACCGGAAATCCACCACAGAAAACCCCACGGTCCCGACGCATCATTGGAAAATGTTGACGCAAAAATTGCGAAACTCATGGGAGAGGGTTATGCCTTTGAAGAAGTGAAGAGAGCCTTAGAAATAGCCCAGAATAATGTCGAAGTGGCCCGGAGCATCCTCCGAGAATTTGCCTACCCGCCTCCAGTCTCCCCACGTCTAAATCTATAGCAGCCAGGACCTGTCCACACCAAAATGGCAAGCAGTCAATATCCCAGGATCGTGGAAAAGAGACAAGCGAGAGAAGGTGTCTCCTTGGCATGGCACCTTGAGAAGAGGCTTGGAAGGGCTGCTTCTCAGAAGACAGCTGCTCGCGCAGGATGGCCACAGCTGTGCTTCCTTATTTCCGCTAGCCATACTTTTTAAATCAGGGTTGAACTGACAAAAATAATTTAAAAACGTTTACTTCCCTTGAACTTTGAATCTGTGAAGTGCTTTTCCTTGTTTACAAGTTGGCGAAGTTGCAGTTTGTTTTTGTTTTTAGTTTTGTTTTAGGGTTTTTGGGGTTTTTTTTTTTTTGATCCCTGTACTGTGTTCTTGACAGACCCTTGGTAGAGTGGTCAGGTCTGCTGTAACATTTCCCACCAACTCCCTTGCTGTCCACGCCAGCAGCTGAGTCACACGTTCATTTGTATCTCATCCATCCCACCCCACCCCCCATGACCAGCTGGGTCCAGTTCCATTTCTCCCATTTACAAGATGCTTCAAAGGTTCTGATTTTCAACGTATTGAACTAATGCAAGAAAAGAAAAAGAAAAGTGTGTGGCCTTCACTACTGAGTCTTTTCTTTGGAAACCTTTGCTGTTGTGAGATGGGAAAGTTATGAATGTATAAAGCATTTTTTCATCCATGCACTCACTGATTTTTGATAAGGGGTTTTTCATATGATACAGAGGAACATCCCTTTTTAATGTAAGTTTTGTGATCTTTAACCCCCACCCCCTATTCTCATCTTTGTCATCCCAGGGGTGTCACGACTCTGTAAAAAACAAAATATTAGGAAGCAGCTACTGCAGATGTGGGAGAAATACACTTGCATATGACAATGCCATGTTGAAGTTATATAATGAGGTCCCTTGACTGTTACGCCTGCATTACTTCGAGGCATGCTTAATAAGAGGGCCGTCTCCCTGAAGTGTGTTAATAATTTTCAGATAAAATTATGATCATACCTTTCCCAAAGTGGAATAGAGTTCATTTCCTATATGAGTGATTACACGCTGGTACCTAACAAATGTAGGAACCAGTACATACTGCAGTGGAAAAAGTTAAATCTTTGATGCACTGTTAAGTGCCAATGCTACTGCGGCAGTGTTCTCCCCACCCCCCCTTTTGGGCAAAGTCTCTGCAATCAAATCAGAGTTCACATTTAATTTGTAGATTCTCATTGTTCCATCCAGTCAGGGAAAAGAAATTTATATAGTTTTGTTTTTTTTTTTTCCCCCAAAATGGAAGTTTGTCCTTCAGAAACCATGTTATTACTTTTAATAGATCTACAAATATTTATTGAGCATCTATGATGTGCTTGATGCACTGTGTTTTCAAAGCACAAACTGTCACAAGCTGATTGCGATATAATGTTTTGTTATTCTTTATCTGTGCTTTTGATGGCAAAAGTCTCTCTCTGAAAAAGCCTAATGAGAAGTTAGTGGAGAAGTGGGACAAAACCCAGGTCTGTGCGAAATGCGTGAGCCCACAGAAGCTTTTCTAAATAGGGACTCGTGGCAGGGTTGAGCACCTTTCCGCCACTCCTCTTTCAGCCTCACCCCGGGTGTGATGTACAAGGATGCACCTGACACTGAGCCTGTCTTTGGGATTCAGAAGGACAGGACCAAACATCCAGCAGGATGCCATGGAAATTAATCTTCAAGCCTGGAGCGATCACCAAGTTGACCAGGGAGAGGAACTACTGCCTTATTTTGCAAAGTGATGTGTGACATGTGCCCTTGATGGTTTGGCTGTCACGATAGGAGGTAGAGAGGAGTCACGGGCTTGGGTGTTTTAATTTTTCAAGTGATTTCACACTGGTCAGTGTCCTCAGAGAGGAATTTTCACTTTTTCTTAGATGTTTCACCTGTGAGCAGATATATGCGTCCATTTTTAAATGGCATCAGCTAATTCTTCATTGATTTAGGAACTCTGCATACATCATCGTGATTATTTTTTTTTTATCAGTCTCTGATGTCATGTTGGAATAGCACTATATGTTTTGTGTTTTTTATGACTTGCTGATCATAGGTACAACTAAAAGCCAAAAGTTGCCACTTCATTGTGAAAATATTGTTATAACTTAATAGAGTGATATAAAATACAAATGTGAGGAAAAACATAGTACGTCCTCAAACAGTTTTCAAATACTATGTGAAAATTTCCAATGAGAATTAGAAGAAGATGATAGAAATTTAGACCTTTTTTTAAAAAATTCTGTTTTGCAAAGAAGACATTAGCCTCCACTAAAATCTCTGCATCTTGTATTCAATAGCAACCATTAGTTCTATCATTAAAAGATTGAATCAGAAACTTCTATGGAATAGAATGGAAAGAGGAAAACTTTTTATCAAACACGGTCATGAAAATCCCATTGCTACCTATTACCAATGATAACCTCAAAATTTTTTTGTGTGGAAATAATTAAAAATATTTTAAATTATAAAAATGACTATCCATTAATTGTTGGAAATGATCAACGCTTGGTTTCACTGTTATCCAGAAAGACATTCCTCCCATTTCTCAAGACTTGGTCATGCATTAAGCCAGTGCACAGTATAATCCATATAATTAAAACAAAATCATGGCCAACACTAACCTGCTCTCCCTCATCCCCCAACATGTTCTGAGGATAGAAGTACTTATCCTCAATGACAGTCCAGTAAATTAGTCTCCATAAGTTCTTTTTTTCCTCTTGATGTCTACAATATCCTGGCCAAATTTTCTAGAATTGAATCAGAGCAGTCCTTCTGGTTAACTTGAGCTTCCTTCCACAAAATGACCTTTAGCTCTTCCCTGTCCCCTCTTCTGTCGCCCACATTGCAAATAGTCTTACTAAAGCCCTAATTGCAACTTCAAAGGGCCCGTTTGTTAACTCAATATCTCACACACAAGAACACTTGCAAAGATTTCTTCATAATGTGAACTCTTTTCTTTTTCAGTTCCAGAAGCATTTCCTACAGTTTGGACATTACTTTTCCTCTAGAATTTTCAACTTGAAGCTTTAATTTGCACTGAATTATCAGACCTGGTTAAAATTTTAATTTTTTTCTCTTAAGCTGACAGATTTGGAAGCAAATTACAGTGTGTTTTCAACAACATAGGCACTGTCTGTTGACCTGGAATTGTAGTGCTTCTAAGAAAAGTTTCCAAAAAAAGACAGCAATAGAGTGAAGGGTTTTCTTCCCAATTACTACTTTTTTTAAATGCCTTTTTTAAACTTGTCTAATGTGGCAAAATAGCTATGTGTTCAATTAATTTATATTCATCTTTTTTCAATTCTGGTTATTATGTAAACTCAAGTACTTTATCTGTTCTTTTAAGGTATTTTATAAAATGAGTTAACAAAATGCAGAGGTGGTATTTTATTTTTCAAATGAACACAAACATTTCTTTCACAGCATTTCTATATTTTCTTTTTGGTGCTAAGGAAAAAGACATTGGATTCAAGAGTTGAGTGGACAGAGTGGTATAAAATACCCATCCCAGGTGGTTATTAAATACCAACCATATCATTTTAAGATATTTACATAAATAAGCTCCTTCCTTGTCTTTGAACTGCAAAAGTTCTATTAAAGTTCCAAGTAAGAACCATATCTGGGAAAGGCTGAATGTCTTCAGATGACAATCAGAATTCCTAAACAATTGTAACATCTGTTCTCTAAATTCTTGGTTTTTCTAATCATTTATTTTATAAGGAAGAATATATAAAATGGGCCAGTATAAAACGGGGAGGGAACAATGGAGACTAAAAAAAAATGTTAATAACTACTACCATATAAAGAACCATAAAATGTGAAAGTAATTGATACGTGCAATATCCCACACATAGTAGTAATAGTTATATTCTCAAAGCACATACAATTAAAATTGGGGGATTATACATAAGCAAATAATTCCAATACAATAAATGCCATATATAAATTTTCACATTGTACTGGAATTATGTATTTACAGTACGTGCTAAAGAACTTTTATTGGGCCCTTACTTTTTGCAAGGAACTTAGTAATAAAACATTTAATCCTCTCAACATCCATTAGGCCTCTTCTAGGACAAAGAAGTAAAGGAGGGTATGATACATTCCTTCTGGAAATTTCGATGAATGATAAGGCTGAATAGCATTTTGGCAGCCTAAAGGAGGATCACGATTTTTGTTTTTAAGAACTCCAGAGGTGGGGCGCCTGGGTGGCTCAGTGGGTTAAAGCCTCTGCCTTCGGCTCAGGTCATGATCAGGGGTCCTGGGATCAAGCCCCGCGTCGGACTCTCTGCTCAGCGGGGAGCCTGCTTCCCTTCCCCTCTCTCTCTCTGCCTGATTCTCTGCCTGCTTGTGATCTGTCAGTCAAATAAATAAACAAAAAATCTTAAAAAAAAAAAAACAACTCCAGAGGTAAGACATTTCAACTAAGAGCGGCACACATCATAGAACAATTATTTTAGGCAAAGAGGAGAAGTAGTGGGACGAGGAACACAGAAAGGGCTAGGGAGAGGACGTTGGTGCCCGTTGATAAAGGACCACACAAGACATCTAAGATTTCTAGGAACCATAAGATTAGCAATCAGTTGCTGGAAGTCAGAGTTGACAGTAACCATGAAAATACCCAGAGGGATGAGGGTGTGCCTCCCAGGAATTGGCACATCAAATGGCAGGCAACAGGCTGAGGAAAATTTAGTTTCCATGCCTTTTCTTCACGTCCCTCTTCTGTCTGATTGGCACATGAACCTTGAACAGTATTCTTAATTACCTATTTTTGCTTCCTTCTCATCCCTGCTGCCACGACACTCTCTTAGGTCTGAATTATGACTCCCTTAGAATTTGATCTCCTGGCTCCAGTGCAAGACAGAAAGAAGGTTCTGAACATCAAATCCGATGTTGCTCCTCAATGTAAAACTCTTTATGGCTTTCCATGGTGGGACTTCCCTGTCTGCAGTCCTCTTGACCCCTGCCTCCCTCCCTCGGCCCTCTTCACCTCTGCTGAGCTTCCAGTTGCCCAGACATTCTTCATGTCTTTGTACATGCTAGTTTGGAATATGCCTTTCCCTTTTCTCAGTCCGGCCCAACTCTCGTTTTTCAAAATCCAGCTCAAGTGCTGCCTCTGGAGAAGGCACAGGCTGAGTTGAGCAGGTCATCTTTTTATGCCACACACGATAGTCCCATCATACATAAGTGGTTCTGCAATCACTTCATTCCATGGGTTGTCCCAACTAGACTGAACTTCCTTAGTAGAGGTAGCATATCTAATTGCTGTGTCCCAAGCTCCTATTACAGAAGCCAGTACATCATAGTGCACAATAAAACATTTGAAATCAATAAAAATTGTACGCTTAAATAGCCAATACTAGAAACGGTCCTGAGTTCTGGTTTCAGCTCTGCCACTCTCTGCATGGACCGGTATCTCTGTTTCTCGCTCCGGCTTTCTTCACCCATGGACCGGAAGATATATAAGCCTACTCACTAAAGTGACTACAGTAAAGACTTCAGCTTCGGGTCACTGTTGGGATGGGGAACACATTACTTAATAAGAAAAAAAATCAGATTCACCAAGTAAAAACTGGGAGATTTTAAAATTTATTTTGGTAAATCTCAAATGTGCCTTTTAGGAACTTGAGAAGCTAAGAGAATACTTGGTTCTCCATAAGGAGATTA